TATGTTCCTCTCTTGTAACACCTCTAGTCTTCGGCACCTATATGACCGTATCGTGTATGTTCCTCTCTTGTAACACCTCTAGTCTTCGGCACCTATATGACCGTATCGTGTATGTTCCTCTCTTGTAACACCTCTAGTCTTCGGCACCTATATGACCTTATCGTGTATGTTCCTCTCTTGTAACACCTGTAATCTTTGGCACCTGTATGACCTTATCGTGTTGCAAGTGCCTGAAAAAGTGTACTAAGACAACCAATATGAAGTGATGATGTGTTCTGTTTTTGACAATGTTTTTTTCCCCCAATGTCCCCCAGGAACCCTTCTGTTTTCGGAGAACTACACATGGAATACAGCTGATTCAGTGGGGAGGGGTGCCAGCGCTGTGGTCTTTCTGGGGAGACACAAGGTCAGTGGCTCACCTCATCTCTTCTCTTTTGTCTGCCGGCAGGGGGCTCTGTCTGTCTGTCACTTTCTGTTTTGTCTGTCTGTCTGTCTGTTACTTTCTGTTTTGTCTGTCTGTCTGTCTGTTACATTCTGTTTTGTCTATCCGTCTGTCTGTCTGTTACTTTCTCTTTGTCTGTTACTTGCTCTCAATCTCCTCTCTGTCTCTGTTACTTTCTCTTTGTCTGTTTGCCCGCTCTCGGATATAGTATGATGTATGTTGTAACACAACACTACTCTACTAGGACAACGTTCTATGTGCTCATTGACTTTTTTGGAGAAATTACAGACGTTGACAATTTTGAGTTCCACAACTTGTCAAGCTTTTGCCGAGTGCAATTCTTTGAGTATCTTAATACCGACTCCAAAAAAATGCTCTATCGATTTTGATAGAGAATTCTATAACATTTGGTGTCTGACCTCGTAGTTGTAGTAACTCAAAGCCACCCAGACTGTCATATAGAACTGAGGGATTCTCGATCTATTGACGTAGCACAAGTGTGTGTCCGCTGCCGTGACGGGCGGGCGTGACTGTGTGCGACAGAAATAGATGTCGTGCTCATTCCTGTTTGCTATCGGCTGTTGCGAACAGGACCTCACGTAGTTGGGGAATAGAATGATAAAGCCAATTCCTAACGCCCAGTCACATGAGACCGTGATTTGATATTACGGATTTGATATGTTGCACGCCTCTATTCACCATCCACCAGGATCTAGGAATATTGTCGTGCCCTCCCGTGCCAGACGTGACCGTGCGTTTTATTATTATTATT